AAATAATCACTTTCAATATTAGTAATCACACTGTATCATATATATTATTGGCTCAAATCTTATTTAATCTCATCATTCAATTTAAATAATCACAAACTAATCACTAAATTGAAGATTTCCGCCCATATGATAATGCCGCCCAACATTGTAATTCCCATCATAATTCTGAATTACCATGTGATATATTCGTTATGTTCGATCTAGAGTGTCCAGGTACTATGGTGCATAATTCTACTCACATTAAAGATACTTTTTATATTGTAATTTGATTTAGAAAGTGATTAAATCACGGATCTCTGATGGGAACAATATAAAAAATTATTTTTAGCATGAGCAGAATTATGCACTGCAGTACCTGGACATTCTAATTCGATCCTTGTCATTTAGCTTTTTATCATCGATTATCATTCCCTTTACTAAGTACGAGGTTCATGAGAAACTATATAATCATGTATATATTATAATCTTAAAATAATATTAATTTATGTAACTATATGCACTGTACATACAAAAATACATAATAATTATATACCTTAAAATAATATTAATTAATGCGATTATAATATATGAGTGTCGCTAAAAGAAAACCAGAAAATTTAAATATAAATCATATTTAAATTGTCAGGTTTTCTTTTAACGACACTCATATTTTACTAACTACAAATTTGACCATGAGAAATCAAAGATATCCATATAGAAAAACTACTCCTGATATGCGAGAAAAAATTGTTGACATGGTTAACAACCAATGTATTCTAATAGTTAAAGTTTCTCATCTTTTTCATCTTGCACCCTCAACAATTCAAAGTATTGTAAAAATATTCAATGAGGATGATAGGATAGTTCTTAAGCCACGAGGTGGCAATAAGAGATTGCTTTTAAATGATATGCATAGATTCTTTTTAAAAGAACTAATGGAAATAAACCCAACCATTACTATTAATGAATTACATCAGAATCTTATTGAAAGGTTTCCCGATCTAGAAGTATGTATACATATACATATAATATTATAAAACAGGATGAAATCTGGACTGTATACTAGTACATTAACTAGCTTACAGGCCAGAGTTCACTTGTTATAAATCAATATATTTACTGTAATTAATATACACATTTATGTACCGTATATATATAAAATATACAGGTAAGCAGATTAATAGTCACACGCAATATTGTCAAACTAGGATTTACATTAAAGAAGCTAGTACCTGTTGTTGTGAAGCGGAACCAAGATACTACTATTGTTCAATGGAAAGAGTACGTTGAGAGAATATCCCGAGAGAATATTAATATGTTCAATAATGTGATATACATAGACAAATCCAGTTTCAACCTGCATCTCTGTCATTCTCAGGGTGCATGCCCAGAGAAAACCGGCTGTTAAAGAAGAAGCCACTCAACGTGGAAAAAATATTACAATAATTGCTGCAATGAGTGGAAATGGAATCATTAAAACCTCATGCCGCT